CAATTAGAGAAGAAATTAAAAAATATATGGAAACAAATTAAAATGAAAATACAACAATCCAAATGGTTTGGGATGCAGCAAAAGCAGTACTGAGAGGAAAATGCATTGCAATCCAGGCCTCTCTCAAGAAACAAGAAAAATCCCAAATACAAAATCTAACAACACACCTAAAGGAACTAGAGGCAGAACACCCCAAACCTAGCAGAAGAAGAGAAATAATAAAGATCAGAGCAGAAATAAACAATATAGAATCTAAAAAAACTGTAGAGCCGATCAATGAAACCAAGTGTTGGTTTTTTTTAAAAAACAAACAAAATTGATAAACCTCTAGCCAGGCTTCTCAAAAAGAAAAGGGAGATGACCCAACTAGATAAATTCATGAATGAAAATGGAATTATTACAACCAATCCCTCAGAAATACAAGCAATTATCAGGGAATACTATGAAAAAATTTTTTTTGAATGTTTATTTTTGGGAGAGAGAGAGAGCGACAGCATGAGTGGGGGAGGGACAGAGAGAGAGACAGAGAGACAGAATCCAAAGTGGACTCCAGGCTCTGAGCTGTCAGCACAGAGCTTGATGCAGGGCTCAAACTCATTGACCGTGAGATCATGCCCTGAGCTGAAGTTGGACACTTAATTGACTGGGCCACCCACGTGCCTTGAGTACCTCCTTTTTTAAATCTTTATAGGTAATAGTGTCCTCCCCGCCTTGAGTTGTGAGAGTTAAATGTGAGCTGGCATGTGAAAAGACCTAGCGTGGAACTTACATATTTTAAACTGTAAGACTTATTTCAGCAGGAAACACACTTTCCCAATCTAGTAGGCTTTAACTCCTTCTCAAAAGGTCTTGGATGCTTTTATTAGTGTTAATTGATCTTAACACGTTATCGCATAGATATCCTAAATTGTTTTATCTTTCATTTTTGTAAATAAATTATAGAATTTGCAGTGATGGATCCTAGTAATCTCTGGAAACCTATTTGTAATGTGTCTATTGAGCCAGTCTGTGTCTGAGCTATATTCCGAAACATGATTTTTGTGTGCATGAGATTCTCTTTGGTTGTGGTCCATTGTAACAAGGAGCTCCTTTTAAATTCTGCTGCATCCATACCTGTGCTTCTTTGATTTGGAATTTGACCGATATATTTAATTGATGAATAGTTGAACATTTGTTAGTGTATCTATATCTATATCTATATCTATATCTATATATCTATCTCTTTCTATAGATAGATAATGCTGAACTCACTGTGTTTTAAAGCTATTTAAGATAATCTATATTAAGATCAGCTATACGAAATATAGAGTCTATAGTCTATTAAGAAATCAATATAAAGCAAAATTATTTAGAGTAACCTTTCTATGGTACATACATTTTTTTTCCAGAATAACTTAGAAGAGGATGAAGACGTGGAAGTGAAAAATTGTATAACCCAGGGAGACAAACTACGTGCCTTAAAAAGTCAGAGACAGCCACGCTCCTCACCATCCTGTGCATTTAGGTAGATCAATTTTAAGCTTTTAAATTTATCTCGTGCCTCCATTTGTGGATAGGATGTTTAATCTTCTCTTTTGAATATCATTATACAAGTGCCATGTTTACCTCTTGGTTTTGTTTTTGGCTTATTGCCATTTTGTGTTGTTAACTATTTTATCACTATAGGGAGAAGCTAAGTTTTAGAAGCTTACTGAAAGCAGCTCCTGCAGTTTCAGTCTCTGGAGTCCCACCTCTTTAAAAAAATTTTTTTTAAATGTTTATTTATTTTTGGGAGAGAGACAGAGACAGAGAGCAAGCAGGGGAGGACAGAGAGAGAGGGAGACACAGAATCCGAAGCAGGCTTCAGGCTCAGAGCTGTCAGCACAGAGCCTGACTCGGGGCTTGAACCCACAAAACACGAGATGATGACCTGAGCTGATGTTGGCCGCTTACTGACTGAGCCACACAGGTGCCCCTCTGGAGTCCCACCTTAAACTGCTGTGCAGTGAGGTGTCTCTGGGACCGTGCTCTAAATTCCATTTGGAATTCTACTCTCCCTCCACGAGTGGGTGTCCTATCTTGTCGTGTCCTATTCTCACAGGTGTGCTGAGGCTTTTGTTTTGAATCTAGAATGTGTAGAAAAGTACTGAATGCCAAGCTTTGGTATATCCTAACACCTTAGCTTTATGTTCTCTATTTGAGAATTGAACAAGCAATTATTACCTGTGTCTGTACAGTTAATAACCATCCTGAGCTTAAAGTCTAAAATTACTAATCAGAATCAAGTGATGGAACTTGACTTGTGATCCCAACATTTGGATCCTGCTAATGGTTCAGATTACTGAAAGAAGAAAGTCTCCAGGATCAATGTAGGTGCAAAAATCTGTGAATATCGTCCAGATTCTTTACTGGGGTGACAAGTTCACAAATGATTATAATGAGAAGTGGCTACTTTTCTTTGCCTTTTAAGTGAGAGGCATGCACAACAAGAGGGGTGTTTTGCCAGCAGGATACATGTCAAACAGACTCACAGGGAATTTAATTTTCATGTGTTATTTGGGAGGATTATAACACAAGTCAGATTAGGTCTGAGCACATCATTACCTATGCTCTGAGCACTGGTGCCCTGACCTGAGAAATGAAGGTGTATATAGCTCAAGTCAAGGTAATCGTTTGCCATAGTAACATGAGAAGATGGGATAGCAAGCCTGGTCTTGGTAATAACCACCAACTACCACTAGAAAGTTGAAGAGATGTACCATTCACTGAGCAGCTACTACTGTCAGGAGCCACATTAGGTACTTAGTTTGGAGATGAGGATTAACTGAATTAACACAAAAGATATGCATCATTACCCACATTTGGGTTGGTTGCTTGAGGTTAGAGAACGTCAGCCCCTCCCCAGTGGGATGGATTTGGATTGGAGCTGATCTTCAAATCCAGTACTGTTCAGAGTGTGCTCTGCTTGCTGTGAATATCACCTAAGTCAGCGCAAAGTACTTCAAGATTTCTAATCTCTTTTACTCACCATCTCCCCCCTTGAAACTCTTAAGAAATGGCTTTATATCGCTTAAAATTAATTTCAATCAGATTTATATTTGATTCTTAAGAAATCTTAAGGGGGAGAGAGGGATAAATTGGCACATAAGTAGGCAAAAGAGTGAGAAACTCTCCACTACCCAAAATTTACAAGGCTATTCTGATATGATTTTTCTATTTTCTTTTTTAATTCTCAGAATTTTTGTTTCATTTTTTGGAATTCAGTTTTTTTCTAACAGCATCATGGTGTCATCAATCAAAAATTTAAAAAAAATTTTTTTTTTTAACGTTTATTTATTTTTGAGACAGAGAGAGACAGAGCATGAACAGGGGAGGGGCAGAGAGAGAGGGAGACACAGAATCTGAAATGGGCTCCAGGCTCTGAGCTGTCAGCACAGAGCCCGACGCGGGGCTCGAACTCACGGATTGTGAGATCATGACCTGAGCCGAAGTCGTACACTTAACCGACTGAGCCACCCAGGCGCCCCAAATATTTTTTACCCTAAGTGGATGCAACACCACCTTCTGATTTAAAGCAATTTGCTGTAAATGAAAGTCAAGATGAAACAAAATGACTAAAATTGGTTTCCTGCTGGTTGTAGGATTTACTTTAAAAACGGAATGAGTACTAATATCCATTTGGGAGGTTTCTCCCTTTTGCCAATGTAATATTTGTACTGGTTTGACTCCATATGATCTGCCTTTTGGTCTTTGCTTAAACGTGCGAACCTGGCAGTGCGTGAGCATTTGTCTTTGATTTCCGTAGGTTGGATGATACGAAAGGGCACCCAAGAGCAGTGCCCCAGCCTTTCAGGTACTGTGAATGAGGTGAATTTCTAGTAGCTTGTAAATAAACACTGCCCTTTAGATACATTTCCCAACCCTTAAACAAATCACGCACAGCTCTTCCCTTTTGAGTTCCTTCCTTTGTGTTCCAGATTGTTACAACCCACCTTACTTTTAATGCTCACCATGAAGAGGATTTTTGTTTTCTTGAGGTGCGCACAGGGCCGTGTGGCTGTCGTTGTGATGTTAACATAGTCTGTGCTTCCAGCACGTTGTGGGGTCTCTAAATTACCCTTGCTCTGCAACATGCCTTTCAATCCAGTGATAGATTTTGCCTTTGAGTTTTTAATATTTCTGTCAGTTCTCTTTGCCCCTAGTTTTTACATGTGTTTGTTCTCCTTTATTTTCTAGTTTTATTTCCTTCCCCGTCCTCTATTTGAAGAGGAAACATTAGTGTTTTTCCCTGCAAAAAATGTCCCCCAAAGCATCCCAGGGTGGTTCCTGGGTACCAGTGGTACCAGGGTGCAGTGTAGGGCTTGATGGGGGCCATAGACATGTTTGCCAAAACTGTTAATGAGATAGGGGTAAAAATCCAACTCACCCCTCACCTCTGGTTCTCATTCAGCCCTCGGTTTTAGGGCTGTTTTGTGCAAGCAGTTCTGAGAGGGATCAGACTTCTCCAGAAGCTTGAGCTGCTTCCTTGTACCACTTTCCCCATCTTTGTTCTAGAGGCAAACCATGTACTTAAGCTGTTGTTTGGGGGGAGGAGGATGAAGGCGAGAGTCTACAAGTAAATAATCTTTTCTAGAACAGATACATTAGGTCCAGGTACATTAAATGGTTTGCTCAGGATAAAACAGGTTTGGTATTAAAAACTGTGACTGGGCCCTAGTAGTCCAGGTTTGGGTCAATTTTCCCTCTCTGTCCACTCAGCAGACATTTACTGAATATTCTCTCTGAGTCTGGCACTGTACTAGCCACTGGGAATTGAAGTGGGAGACAGTCATTTGCCCCCAGTAGAGCTTATATCAAGGGGAATAGACAGATATCAGACAGTGGAATATGGTATAAGGGCTATGATTTACTATGAGAATATATGATGAAACAGGATGCTTACCCTGCCTGGGAATTCAGTGAAGGCTTGCTGTATAGGGTTCCAACTGATTGGGCCTTCAAAGGGTAACCAATGGGAATGAGGCAGACGGAGGTGGAAGATTGGAAGCAGAGGGGAGGTAAGGAGAGGAGAAGATGCCCTGGCAGGAAAAACAGCACATGCAGGCCGGACGAAGCTGTGAATACAGTCCATTCAGGGAATTCCGAGCATTTTGTATAGCTGGAGTAGAGTTGTCTAATGAGAAAGCATGGATAGAAAGGACCTGCTTGCAAAGGCTAATGGCAGATTTTGGAGGCTTTCATAAGTAAAGCCAAGGAGATCAGGCTTTCTGGGCACCAAGTAAAAATTAAATGGTTTAAACAGTGAGTGGCATAATTAAATATTTTAGATTCTACCTGAGGCTATTCAGAATTTGAATTTTAATGAATAAGATTAAAAGATGTTACTAGTAGTCAAGAGTAAGGAATAGTAGTGGCCTCACCTAGGGCAGTTGGAGAGTGGAAAAAAGAAGACAGATTTAATATACAAAGAAATAAAAAATATATACATATACAAATACATACACACACACACACACACACACACACACACAATCACACACACATGTAGCCTAAGGACATGTGAGGAATGACTGCCTCCATCAAAGAAGGGAAGTGACCAAACATGGCAAGATCATGGTTAAGGACAGGACTTTGGATCCTAGATCTGAATACCACCAGCTCTGTCACTTGCCCACTGACTTTGGGTGACTTTTCCTTTTTGCCTCGGTTTCCTCACCTGCAAAGTGGGGATTGCAATCGTAGCTACCTCATAGGATTGTGAATATGAGCTAATGTCTGTAAGGTTCTTAGAAGAGCTTTTGACTCGGAGCAAGTGCGCTGTCAGTGTTGACTGCTGCTGCTATCACTGTTACCATGACCTGCCATGATGCCTTTAATGTTATGAATTTATCTTGTCTTAGTTGATTGCTGAATGTTAAGATAACACAGCTTTCAGGTGACTTTTTGCCCATTTTTCTCCACAAAGATTGACTTCTTCCCCACAAGGATCTGCATCTACTTTGAAGACCTCAAAAGTGGCTCTGTCCCCCTCAGCGACGGCCAAGAGGATAAACAGAAGTTCTTTGTCCTCAGGCGCCAGTGTAAGAAGGTAATTTTTCTCTTCCTCTTCTCAGATGCTGGTGGGGGGGGGGGGGGGGGGGGGGGGGGTAAAGGAAATCTGTAGCAGACAATGAGTTTGGCTGAAGTTTGTCCGAGGAAGGGATCAGGGAGAAGGGGAGAAATCAGAGAAGGCTTCTGTTCTGTCTCCCATCCTGAGGGACAGGGTCATGTGGAGGTAGTGCTGTATGGCATCCCTTTCTATAGTGGAGCTCCAGCTTGCCTAATGTGATCCAGAAATTGGAGTTCAGTGGAACCTACTAATGATATGTGGTATCATCATTTCTCCTTTGATGTGTATGGGCAGAACTAAAATGGGTAGGGACATTTGAATGAATCTGTGTAGGTTAAATCTTACACTTCAGTCTACCTTTTACTCTCATATAGCCCCTTTCACTTACTCCCTACCTCAGGACACATAGAGCCCCCAGATGTCCTATCTCAAGACATCTGGTCAGAGTGGTTTAGCCAGCTTCTTGGGTCGCAGTGAACTGCTTAGACAGGAAGTTAACGTGTATCACTAATGGCCATATGTTGTAATATCACCAAGACGATAAAGACGCCATTCTGTCCCCATTTGCCTTGATCAGAGCTGTCTGCATCCCATTCCCCTCTTGTCCTGTGTATTTTAGAAACACGAACTCTGCATGAGCGTACATCGTTGTCTATGTCCTCCCCCCTCCCCACCTGTGTTTTCCATTCAGCTTTTCCATAAACTCCCGGCTAGCCAGTTCTCTAGGGAACTTGAACGCTGCAACAGAGGAGCCAGAGAACAAAAAGGCCTCCTCGTCCTCTAAGGCGGGTTTCGTAGCCAGCCCGTTCACCAACCTCTTGAATGGCAGCTCCCATCCGTCTGCCAGAAATTACCCAGAGCTCAACAACAATCAGTACAGCAGAAGCAACAGCACCAGCGGGAGCACCGTGAGCAGCCAGCCGAGCCCCCACGGCGCCGTCAAAGCGGAGGAGCACAGCCCCGTTCTTCGGCCCGCCTACCCCGGCCTCTCTTCTTCCTCAGCGAGATTCCTGAGCCGTTCAATCCCCGTAAGTTCGCAGACACCACCTCCTGGTCCTCAGAACCCTGAACGCAACTTTTGTGCCTTGCCTCCCCAGCCGAGGCTGCCGCCAAAGAAATTTAATAGCGCCAAGGAAGCCTTCTGAGCGATGCCTTCCCTCTGTGCTGTGAACCTGTCTATGCACGTACATTCGGCTGGCTCCTCTTCAAGTAAATGCCAAGTTTCAACTGGGGTTTCTTCCTTCCTTCTTTTTCTTCCCCTCCTCCTCCTTCCCTCTTCAGAGGGAAATCGCTTTCATTCTCTTCATCATGGACACCATTGACTTACGTTACTTTTCAGTTAAGTTTTCGAATCAACTCTGAATATCTGGTGCAAAGCCGGGAGCTGATTCATACGATAGATGGTATTTGCTTTGGTTGCAGTGGAATTGGGAAGCTTCGCTTTTCCACATCTTATATCAATGAATGAATTTCAGAGTATTTAAGTGTGGAAGGTGCTGAATGAACAGTAGCTTCTCAGAACTAACCATTAGGCTCTGGAATATGTCCCCTCCTTCAGGGAACTGACCCAGAATTAACAAAATGGCAAATGGGAAGGTGTTTATAAGGAGGGCCCATGAGTAGGTATCTGGGATGTAAGGAAGGACAAGGCAGAGTATCAGGAAGATGTTTAAAATTAGCTATTAGTCTTCTAGAGACAGGATGAAAGATCATCAAACACATTTTACCTGGGAACTCTGTATTGAGGTTACCAAGTCCCCCTTTAAACTGGAAATCCCTGTTAGGTAAAATCTGTTGGTTCACACCCTGCTGTGAGTCGCTTTAATCACATATTTTGATTGCCTCAAGGGGAATTCATATCTATGGGAATGTGAGTGTTGATTTGAGAGAACAAGGACAAAATAGGAAGGAGAAATCAACCTCACAGATCAAAGTGCAACTCAGAGTTCAACACGGAGTCCAGTCAGGGCACAAGCAAACTCCAGTGTCCTGGGTAGTCTGGGGCCTGGGACTCCTTCATGCCTGCTGTTCTACCAACATTTCCTCAGCCGTTACCCAGGGAGTGATTTCTGCAGGGGAGCAGAGGGGACGAAAGGTGCTGGTAGTAGTGTGCCTTTCTTGGGAAACAGGAACCCAATGGAATAATTAATGAGACCCACTTCCCTTAGATGGTAGCTTAGGGAACCACTTTTCTTTTTTTTTTCTTTTCTTTTTGTTTTTTAGGGGACCACTTTTCAAACATGAGGACACAGTGCACGTGTGTGTGTGTGTGTGTGTGTGTGTGTGTGTGTGTGTGTGTGTGTTGGTTGGATACGTTACCACTCCTGTCTCAACCTCAGGCCTCTTTTCAAGGAGGCCTTTTTTTTTTTTTTTCTCTTCTATGCACACACAGTCCTTTCTAGCACATATCGTTGACCCTTGAGCAACAGATTTGAACTGCATGGGTCCACTAACACACAGATTTCTTTCACTAAATACAATGCAGTAATATATGTGTGTTTTCTCTTCCTCATGATTTTCTAAATAACATTTTCTTTTTAAAAAAAAAAACATTTATTTTGAGAGAGAGAGAGAGAGCACACACGTGTGTGTGAGTGGGGAAAGGACAGAGAGAGAGAGAATAAATATTCCTTTTATAGGAATAAAGAGAGAGAGAGAGAAAATCCCAAGCATGCTCCTCACTGTCATCTCAGAGCCCAACTTAGGGCTCAAATTCATGAACCATGAGATCATGACCTGATCCAAAATCAAGAGTCAGATACTTAACCAACTGAGCCACCCAGGCGCCCCAACATTTCCTTTTCTTTAGTTTACTTTATTGTAAGAATACAGTATTAATACATATAATTTATTAATTGACTGTTGATGTTATTGCTAAGGCTTGTGGTCAACAGTTGGGTATTAGTAGTTAAGTTTTGGGGGGAATCAAAGTTCTATGCAGGTTTTGACTGTGCGGGGGCCAGCACCCCTAACCCATGCGTTGTTCAAGGGTCAACTGTATAATTTTCCAGATATGATTTTATTCTCAATGTTTTTCAACATTGTTTTAAATTCCTATATAGTGCCAGCCCACTCCACCACTTAATCTGAATCTGATCTCATGATATTATGGGTATAGTTGTATCAGTAAAAACTTAAATCTTAGTAACTAGGGGGTTAGATGGAAAATAATAGGTATTTACCTTTTCGTAACAAGATATACAAGTCGTGTGCTTCCCAGCAGGAATTGAGTTGTGAGTGTTTTCATATACTGATTGTGGGTCAACCTCATTGTTAGACCAGAATACAGATCTCTTCATTTTCAGAAAAAGTGGTACACATATAGATGTATAGATAATTATATACCTCTCTTGCCGATTTCATAGCTGAAGATTTAGTGTAATCTACATTTGTAGCTGAATACCAGAAGCATTGGCAGCTTGGCAAGAATAACATTCTACTTTTTCTGGATCTCAGTTTTCCTCTTGGCTAGTTGAAGCATGGGGATAGGGATAGTCTTTAGATGATTGGTGATCGCCCTTCCCTCCCATATTTATATAACTTAGCTTTTGGTTTCATTCCATATTTTGATATTTGTCTTCACCTTTCCTCCTTCTCCTCATCCCTCTCCTGGCCTGAAGAGAGTGGTTTTCTGATAATTAAATTTAAAGTAATAGTCTGTGAGGGCAGCTGCTGCCGTTCCCCTCTTCTCTCTCTTAAATTTGTCATCTCATTGTAAAGAGAAGCATTTATAAATAGAATTGCCAGCATGACAACATTTTCCTCCCTCTCACCCTCCCAGGAAGTAAGAAGTAGCAGGTCTCTTAGAGCTGACTTCCCCTCCTTTATCTTTGCCTAGAAAACCTCTGTGGGAAGGGAGGCTCCAGGTCCTACCCCTGCTGGTTTGCTGGTACAAAGTCTAAATTAAGATGGAAATTCCCATTTTATAGGAATAAAGAAAGAGGTTGTAAGTTGTTTTCCTTTATCACTCCAGTACAGCTTTTCTAATTGTGGGTTTCTTGTCTAAATAAGATGGTCCTTCTTTCCAGCACTTCCTAAGTTGTGAGGCATATGACCCTTGAAGAACTAGGAATAAATCTTTCAACAGAAATGTTTTTAAGTCCTTGGGTAGGAAATGCAGTCTGTAAGGCAGTATCCTCCCAGCACCTTTAAGAAAGACCCAGAAACTCCTAGGGGATGAGGGTGACTGGTGTTTAGAGAGAGTCTAATATTTTAGAAGCTGCAATTAGCATCTCTTTTGAAAGCTGCAATTGCTCTCACTTTATGCAGCAGTTCAGCCCCCAGAAAAATGTAAAAATGATTTCCTTGTTCTGTCATTAAGTGCTTTAACACAGAAAACAAGAACAAATGTTAAGGAATTCTCATGGTTGTGACAGAATCCTGAAGAACAATCAGATTTTATTTTTATTTATTTGGCCTCTTCTGTTGGTCTTGAGGTTTCTGCTGCCAGTAGAAACTGCACAAGGTTTCATTTTTTTATTAACCCACTTGTAAAAAAAATCAGTTTTCCCTCCCTGACATTCAGAGGAGTTTTCAAATGCTTAAGAAATGAGGGACGTGTGATTATGGCGTGGGTGGGGTGGAAGTATTTTATTAAATTGAAATTACTTGAGGTATCTGTCTTGAATATTTGCTCTGTTTTATTTTTAAGAGACTTGCCACTGAATTGCTGTTCGTCTCCACTGTCCTTACCTGACCCCTAAAGTCTGGGTGAGGTTATGATGCTTTCCCCGTAAACTCTTCTCTCCCCTGCCTCGGTCTTAATCAATACTCTTCTCACTCTGCATTTTAATCATCTGTTCACTTATCTGTATCCTCCGGTAGACTGTAAGCTCTGTGAGGGCAGGGACGGTGCCTCTGTTTTCTGTGTCCTAGTTGTATGCTCTGTGCCTGGCATATGGTAGGCCCTCATTAAGTATTTCTTGAATGGATATATGAATGGTTAGATGTTTAAATGAGTCAGTGTGTTTAGAGTAACTTCCTCCAGAGGGTTTGAGAGATTAAATATTTTGCCTTAGATTGTACCACAAATATATAGCAGAGGCGTAATTTGCACATAGGTCAGTTTGACTCCAAAAAGCATATTATTTTGATTATATCATATATATATATATATATGTATATAGATATAGATATGGATATAGATATAGATACAGATATAGATATAGTAGATGTTCAATATACAGGGATATCTAGGGGCGCCTGGGTGGCTCAGTTGGTTGAGTGTCCGACTCTTGATTTCGGCCCAGGTCACAATCTCACAATTTGTGGGTTTGAGCCCCACGTCGGGGCTCTGTGCTGACAGTGTGGAGTCTGCTTGGGAATCTCTGTCTGCCTCTCTCTCTCTGCCCCTCCCCACTTGCACTCTGTCTCTCTCTCTCTGTGTCAAAATAAATAAATAAACTTAAAATAAAATACAGGGATATCTAAAGGATATCTCATTTTTCCAGGAAGGGTCAAAGAAAGATGTGCAAAAGAGATAACATTTTAGTTGGGCTTTGGAGCATAAATAGGAAGGAGCCTCCTGGGAATCTACTTAAGAAAATAGGAAGAAGAGAAATGGCCATTGCAGGCAATGGGAACCGTACGAACAGAAGCACAGCTTTAGTACTGTAGTTAAACTCTTAGGTTCTGAAGACAGACCTAGGTTCAAGTTTGATTTCTGCCACTTCCTTGTGGTGAGTACTTTGGCAAGTTATTTAACCTCTCTGAGTCTCAGTAAAATGGGAATAATAATAATCAAGGGCAGACTAGGTTTTGTGCACCCTGAAGCTTATATGATATGGTGGGACCTATGTAAGATAAAGAATACAAAATATTAATTTTTGTAAATTTTATACAACATAGGGCTGTGTACTTTGAAAGGCGTCTTTCTGACTGCGGAGCCTTGAAGCTTATGTGGTGATATGATAAGATCTTTGTAATAGGGTGGTTGTGATGACTGAGATCAATCATATGGACTAGTTTACAGATTTGCTTATAGATGGCGCTCCATAATTATTAGCTACTATTATTTTAAGAGCAGTGAGTTTTCCAGTGTCACTAAAGCCTGGGGAGGTTACTTGTAGATAAGGCTGGAACGTTAAGGGGAAGCCAAACTGGGAAGTGCACTGTGAGCTATTGGAATCTCGTAAGCAAAGTGACT